TCCCTTATATAGTGGATATTGTCCCTGCCACCACCACCACCATCATCATCATCATCATCAATCATCAATCATCATCACCATCATCACCGTCTCCATTCCCATTTTACAGATGAAACTACTAGCACTGAAACAAACTAACTCACCCCATGGCATGGTGTTCATTTTATTTTTTTTTTTAATTTATTTATTTAACAGAGAGAATGAGAGAGAGAGAGCACAAGCAGGAAGAGCGGCAGACAGAGGGAGAGGGAGAAGCAGGCTCCCCACAGAGCAGAGAGCCTCACGCGGGGCTCGATCCCAGGACCCTGGGATCATGACCTGAGCCAAAGGCAGACGCTTAACAACTGAGCCACCCAGACGCCCCTCCAGAAAACTTTCAAGGGGGTGCTCAGGACTGTTGGTCTCAAGGGGAATCAGTTTCCACTCCAGATACTCAATTTCCAAATGTACTCCCCTCCCTAATATTGATCTACCTTAAAACACCTACAGCAGAGGATTTTCTAACATGATTTCCCTTCTCCCACTTTATAACAGCAAGGCACATCTCTCACCCACCCAGAATCTCACTGCCTTACTCTCAGGTGTGCAAACCTCTGGGGCACCTGACAAAACAATTTTGAAACACTGGTTTAGGGGTACCTGGGTGGTTCAGATGGTTGAGCATCTGTCTTCGGCTCAGGTCATGATCCCAGGGTCCTGGGATCGAGTCCTCCTGCATCAGTCTCCTGGCTCAGTGGAGAGTCTGCTTCTCCCTCTCCCTCTACTTCTCCCTCTGTTCCTGCTCTCTCTCTGTCTCAAATGAATAAATAATATCTTTATTAAAAAAAAAAGAAACACTGGTTTACATGGTGAGAAAATTAGTGACTCCATTTACTTTTTCTAAGTCATATGATTTTTCAATTTTTCGCTGTCTGCAAAATTGGAGGAAAACCTAACCAAGTTAACTAACAGACTGCTAAAAATAATTTTTGACGATAGATCACAATGTGATTTTGGCTTAAAAATTAGATGAAATTAAAGAATTGAATAATGAGTGAAACAAAACTTCCTTTTCTCATCCTCTTATTTACATGAACAAAGTTGCTCAGGGTTTACATCTATAAAAATAAAAGCAAAATGTATACTGAATCCTGTCTCATTGGAGCAATACTGATATATGTCCTTGGATACCTGACTTAATGTGTCAGTTTCATCTCATTGACTATTTCCATTTTTAAGCATTTATTTATCAAATTTTGCAATGTATTCATGTCATTTTGATCAATGGCATATTAATAATAATTGCAGGGGCACCGGGGTGGCTCAGTCGTTAAGCGTCTGCCTTCGGCTCAGGTCATAATCCCAGGGTCCTGGGATCAAGCCCCGCATCAGGCTCTCTGCTCAGCAGCGAGTCTGTTTCTACCTCTCCCTCTGTGATCTCTCTCACTCTCTCGCAAATAAATAAAATCTTCTAGAACAGTAATGAAAATAATTGCAAAAGTAACTCAACCCAGAAGAAATGTGCTCAACACTTAGGGACTTATGATTGCAGGAAATAAAATTTAATTTCATAAACATCTTTGCGCTGCTGAGAAGTATGAGAGGATGATCAATAAAACACTTTAAAGGCAAAACATTCCATCAGGATAAATTTATTTAGGAGGAAATGGTGCAGAAAAATGAGTTCAAAGAGGAAATTGATGTAAAGTTTGAAATATTTAAAAAAGAAGTTTTAGGGGCACCTGGGTGGCTCAGATGGTTAAGCGTCTGCCTTCGCCTCAGGTCATGACCCCAGGGTCCTGGGATCGAGCCCCACATCGGGCTCCTGCTCCTTGGGAGCCTGCTTCTCCCTCTGCCTCTCTCTCTCTCTCTCGCTCATGAATAAATAAATTAAAAAAAATTAAAAAAAAAAAAGAAGTTTTATGTGTATGTTTTAATGAATGATGGTAGGTATCAAATCACTACCACTTTTAAAAGCTTTTAAAAGTTTTTATTTTTAAATGAAAACATTTCAAATATGCCGGAAGTTATATCCTTTGCATTTATTTCAACATATTTTGAAAGTGTTCATAAGTGAACTTAAAAATGAGCCACAGGGCGCCTGGGTGGCTCAGTTGGTTAAGCGACTGCCTTCGGCTCAGGTCATGATCCTGGAGTCCCTGGATCGAGTCCCGCATCGGGCTCCCTGCTCGGCAGGGAGCCTGCTTCTCCCTCTGACCCTCCCCCCTCTCATGTGCTCTCTGTCTCTCTCATTCTCTCTGTCTCAAATAAATAAAATCTTTAAAAAAAAAAAATGAGCCACAAAACACATCATTTTTCAAAATTCTCGTGAGTAAAAGAGGTAAAGACGACTGAGGTAGATGATATCCCCCTGTTCCAAAGAGGCTATCTACAAGTTAACACAACCAAATCTGGCCCTCTCCTCCCTTCTTACTTACTCCCATTCAGCAGAAAGGAGGGCCTGGGAGATTCAGATTCCAGCAAGATGGGGACCAAAATAACCTGAAAATTCCCAGAAATTCTGGGGGAAATGTAACAGAAAAATATTTTTGATTTAGCTGAACTCCTAAGGAAAAGGGGGAATCCCCCAGGGACAGAAACCAAGAGGGAGCTGGAATCTGTTGGCAGTACGGGCATGAGCTGACACCAGTGCTGCCCCAGCTAATCTGAGGCTGTTAATCTGCCCCAGTTAAATCCAAACCGTTCATCTCATCTCAGGAGCTTCCCATATCCAAGAACAGGAAACAAGGTTTGGCATGGGACAAGGTGGGAAGTGGGAACTAAGATCTCCTCATAAAGCCAGAACTCTCAAAGAGATGGAAACTCAGTAAAGGGATGGATCAGAAAAATTCATGCCCTCGTACATGGGACACGAAGGAGACTGCAAGGACACGTATCTCTTCCTTCCTAGTCCATTAGAGAAGTCTCCCCTGAGAATTCTAGGCACGGGGGCTATGACTTGCAAGGGTTTGGGATTTGAAATTATGTTGTGGATCCGGGAATCCCCAGATAAAGACATTAACATGAAATTGCTTCCATGGCTGGGAATCCCGGTTCTTAAGAAGCAATTGCAAAACTACTCTGAAGGAACATGCACTGAACCCACAAATGAAGCTCCCTGAAAGTGAGAGCTCATGATCCAAAATTACAATTCCAAATTGTAAGGACATGCCCATCATGAGCAACAGCCAGCAAGCAAAACAAACAAGAGTACTAGAAACCAAAAATTTCAAATAAAGGGAAAATGGATAGAGACAAGAAAATCAGAATATTTAAAATAATGAGACATAGAAGAAGTATTAAAAGTATTAAAGCAGCACACGCCCTGAAAGAATGAGCTACTTTGGAAAAGGTTCCAAAGAAAACTCAGGCCTGAGTGATGGGAAGTGCCCTGACACTGCCTTCTGCCTAAAAACTGGTAGGGACCCCAGTCAGATAGGACCTCCGGAGGGCTGAGACAATGTCAAAAATGTGGAAAGCCAAACTGCTGCAAGTAGATACTAGGTGCATCAAAGGCTCCCCCCAGGAGAGCATCCGTCAACCCTGCACCTTGGAGCAGAGCCCAGTTCCATCATACGACTGGACAGCAGCCCCTTCCCAGACTACCTCTGTTGTTTGCACAGTTAATAAGAAAAGCAGCTGGTTGTTGTTTTGCCTTGTTTTTAAGATCAACTGTGGGGCACAGATTAGTTTTCAACAGAGAGAGCCACAGTGCTGAGCCAGCAAACACCAAGACTCAGAAAACTGTTCTCAGTACAGACTCTGCAGAGAAAAATTATAGACTTACTGCATAATCGTAACAGGCAGGAGTACTGAGGATTATCTCCTTCAACCTTTGTTTTCCATGAAAGGAAACAGAGGCCCAGAAAAAAAGCAGCTCTCTGCAGGCTCTGCACCAAGTTTGCAAAAGAGGTGAGGCTCAGAGGAGTTTTCCAGCTCCAAGGCCACAGCACAGCCAGCTGAGAGCAGACTTGTGAGAAGGGCCCAAAGGGCCCTTTCTGCTGGCTCCCTCTGGTGGAGCCCCTCCTTGACCTCTCAACTCAGAGCCCTGATGCTCCTTCCCTCTATCAGGGAAGCCTTCTAAGGGCACAGGGCACAGGGGCTGGGGGAGTGAGATAGGCAGGAGGCAAGAAAAGTGTTTGACATAATTACCCTACATAGTAGTAGAATTATATGAGAATTCTATTTGTGTATGTTTTGCAAATATACTGTCTTCAGGGGAAAATCTGATACATTTTGCTGGTAAGACTACCTCTCAAGTTTCATTCTAGTTAAAGACTTAATCTCTAATGGTAAAACTTCCTAAGGACAGGAAGAGATAGGGGAGAGATCTGAGCACCCCTCCATCCCTCAGCCCACATTTAGGTGGCCCTATCTAGCCTCTCAGTAAGCTAACTCTAGTCAAAGAACCTAAGAGGAAGGACTGGAATGGGGGGAAGGGACAAAACAATGCCTGCAAGGAGATGAGCCAGGTAGGCAGGCAGCCTGCAACAAGCCCATAGAGGATCTGGAAAAGAACAGGCTAATTTAGGCTCCAAATGTGACTCGGAGCCACCAGGAACAGCTGTTATCCTGCTCTGCACCACCCCCCTCCGGTCTTGACTATCACTCACTACCCCAGGGCCCCCAAAAACACTTCCACCTGCATGACAGAACCCGCTGGCTCCCAAGTGAGGGAGCAGCTCCTCCTCCTTTGGTGACACTTATGTGGGCTTGCTAAATCATATGTTTAAACATGCCATGCAGTACTGGGGGGAGATGAGGCTTATTCCAGGGGACTCTGGTGCCAATAAGGGTGAGCCTTGCCATCTGAGAAAGCAGGTAAAATGTGAACTCGACAAGAGGCAGGTCCTGTCCTGTGCAAATGATCTAGGGATTCCAGAGGGGACTTCAAGGGTAATGACATGGGACTGAAGGACCATCGTTCTGCTAATAAGCACAGATGCAGTGCCGGGGTTAGGAGCAGGGGCTCTACAGTCAGACAGACTTTCTGCTCAAGTGACCTCAGGTAAATTACTCACCTCTCCAAGCCCCAGGTTCCTCATCGATCAAACAGGAATAACAACAGCAGCAGCCCAAAGGGGTTCTGTGAAGATTAAATGGGATGGTGCGTGTAAGGCACGTGGTTCAATGCCTACACATAGTACTTGATACCTGATAAATGTGACTTCCCTTCGCCTTCCTTCTCCCTAATGGGCCAGGTACCAATGAAGATTTAAAGAATAAAAATGAGGACTGCCAAGAAAAGTTATGTGCAGAGGGGAAATGCCCAAGCCCCAGTAAGGGCTGGACCAGAGAGGTCAAAGAAGGAACAGCAGCTCGACTGAGCCCAATCTTAGCCTGTTTGCCTAAGCAGCGCAGACTCTTCTCCTCAAACGCTCATCCACTCAGATGTCTATCTTTCCACAAACAGCTCTACCTGGGTGCCAAGATCAACATCAGCCATGTAAGAAGCTACCGACCCAGAAGGTGGCTGACACAGCATGTGCCGTATGCCTGCTGGGAATACCCTGCCTTTTACCAAAACCCTTGCCAGAATTCTGAGTCCTAGTTGCCCAGGCCCGTGGTCTTGGCGCCTGATCCTTCTTTTGTTCTCTGGGTTCCAAGCATGGATTCCAGGCAGCGCTGCCTCAGCTAATGTGGGTTGGCCCTCTATTACTAGACCTGGGACACTCACGCATTTCTCCCAGTCGTGGCTGACCTCTCCATGTGCCTTCAAACTATGCCTGTCTCTCAGTCTTCCTCCTATCCACCTAGATTCTCCTGCTTCTTCCTCGACAGATTTGTCTAACTTCTGAGTCCTGGATAACAAGCAGCTGCTCGAAGACCAGCTGGAAGCCAACAATGACCACTGCAGGGAGTGTAAGGGAACATCCAAGGCAAAGCCCTGCATTCTCTCTCGGTAAGGAAGTCAGTAAGGAATAGTACCAACTGAAACAATCACTCCACAAGGCTGTGTGCACCCCATCACCCAGCAGACCCAGTTGTGGCAGTCAGGATAGACTAAAACAATTTGCTGCAGCTAAAAACAACTCACAAGTGTCAATGGCTCAAAACAACAAAGGTTTATTTCTATCTCATGCTACTTGTCTCTCACAGTCTCTCATGTCTGCTCCACGCTGTCCTCACTCAGGAGCACAGACTGACGGAGCCTCCTGACCCAGAGCTTCAACGGTCAGCATAGCAAGGAGAAGGAAAGGTCGGGGCACCTGGGTGGCTCAGTCGTTAAGCGCCTGCCTTTGGCTCAGGTCATGATCCCAGGGTCCTGGGATCGAGCCCCACATCGGGCTCCCTGCTCAGCGGGGAGTCTGCTTCTCCCTCTCCCGCTCCCCCCACTTGTGTTCCCTCTGTTGCTGTGTCTCTCTCTGTCAAATAAATAAATAAAATCTTTAAAAAAAAAAAAAAAAGAAGAAGGAAAGGTCAAGTGGCACACAGGCTCATAGAGGCTTTAAACACTCTGTCATTGGCCAAAGCAGGTCATGTGGACCCTTCTTTAAGGGGTCCTTCAACCTTTAAGAGGACAGGCAAGTACAATCCTAGGCTCTCACATGGGTTGGTAGTGGAGAGATGACCCCTTCTCCCAAATGGAAAGATAGCACCTGAGTTCTGTTTCCTGGACTGGAACCTTCCTCCCTCAGTAGAAAAGAAAGAACTTCTCACAGGCTTAAGGTCCTTAGAGAAACCTAGTAAAGCCAGGATCCCACATCCAGACTGCCCAACATCAGAAATCCTACATCTTCTCCTCTAAGAAGGCCACATTCTCAGACTCCCCTAGGAAAAGGGAGACTCCCGTACTAAAAGGTATGAAGGGGAACTTCACTGGAATGAAACTCATGCCATTGCCAGGAGGTGGCCTGGCCTGGCATGCTTCTCCCAGAGGTGATGGGAAAAGAGAGGCCACATGCATCTCTATCTTGCTGAGCCTGGTCTTGTGAGTGTTCCATTTTTTCTATAAAGTATTTCTTTATGCATTTCTTGTGAAGTGTGGGATTCATTCCTGACCAATGTCAGACTGGAGGGGCCCACCAAGCATAAGAGCTCAGAAGGGGAGAATCAAAAATATTGGTGAATAGCCCTAACAACTTTCACAGTCTATCCCCATCCAAATACCCAGTATTTGATTATTCTCTGGATGCAAAATATATTCAACCCTTTCCCAAGGGAGACAACCCATCCTAGCACGGCACCATCCCAGCCCCAGTGCAGCACCAAGCTCGAAGTCTAATATATCCAATTTTTCACAGTAATTTCTACATCAAGGTGAGGGGCAGTTGTCTCTCCATCTAGATGTGATGCCTCTTCATCAGGAGACGAATACGACTAGTTATCTTCTCCAACATACCAATATTTAATGATAGAACATGGGACAGGAAAATAGAAATAAACACTCCCATTCAGAAAAGAGAATAATGGGACACAGCAGACACTGATCCGTAGCAACTGCAAAATCTCAGAGCATTCTTTTTTTTTTTTAAAGATTTTATTTATTTATTCATAAGAGACAGAGAGAGAGAGAGAGAGAGAGAGGCAGAGGGAGAAGCAGGCTCCCCGCTGAGCAGGGAGCCCGATGTGGGACTCGATCCCAGGACCCCGGGATCATGACCTGAGCCGAGGCAGACGCTTAACCATCTGAGCCACCCAGGCGCCCAATCTCAGAGCATTCTTCCCCATGAATGAAGAATATTCTTTGATTAGATCCTGATTCCACCTCCTGAAATGTTCTCTGTAGGCTCTGACACGACCCTCCAAGAGATTTCCTTTTCTCCTTATGCTCCTTGGCCAAAGCTGAAGTGTACACCAGAGAGTATGTTCTCCCTGTGGACTAAGCATATTTCCCAGCATACTTCCTGGGGCACCCAGGTGTTGTTTTAAGATTCAAAGTCAAGATCAGGCCAGTGTTCTTTGGGCAGTATAATTCTCTTAAAACCTTCAGTCTCTTATTGTATGATCCCAGGCAGCACTAAGTACCAACTGACACACTCAAATTTCCTTTATGAATATATCTCCTCTTTGCTGCATTTCTTTGTTTCCTTACCACCATGTCACTCTGGACTTAATTGAAGGTATTTTGGTCTATACCCTTAGTCTCCCTGCCCCCCACCCCCCGCTCCAATACATTCTGTCCAATGGAAAGAACCTGGACATTTACTAGAAGACATTTTAATACAACCAGAGATTTTAAAATGGATATGACATCTATAGTGTTGATGTAACCCTTGCTTACAAAACTGAATTTCAGGGCGCCTGGGTGGCTCAGTCGGTTAAGCGACTGCCTTCGGCTCAGGTCATGGTCCCGGAGTCCCGGGATCGAGTCCCGCATCGGGCTCCCTGCTCGGCAGGGAGTCTGCTTCTCCCTCTGACCCTCCCCCCTCTCATGTGCTCTCTCTCATTCTCTCTCTCAAATAAATAAATAAAATCTTTAAAAAAAAAAAAAAAAACTGAATTTCAATCATTCTTTGTCTAAGCCTTTCTTATTTTTACTGTTTCATAATGAGAAACGTTTGCTTTTTCCAGTCCTAAAAGTGTTGCACACCAGCCAACTCTTCCCTGATTTCATCTTTTTCTTTTAGTATCTCACCAAACACTGTCAAGAGTGACTAACTTACAATTAATATTGTGCTTTCCAACCTCTTTTCTTAAATCTCCAAGTTCATTAGGTCAATTAGCTGCCTCCCAAATTCCTACAAGTGCAGTTTAAGAAAATCTCTCTCCACTACATAATGTAAATGGCCATTTTCCAGCTGTCGGTAAGTTTCCTCACCGCACATTACCCAGCTACTAAGCCAGTACCATAGGTATTTTGTTATGGGGTGCCCCTCCTAGGAGTACCCTCTAGTACTGATTTATATTTCAGACAGGATAGAAAGGCTGTGCTGGCTTGAAAAACTAATCTAAATCTCAGGGGATCAAATCAAGGTTAATTTCTTCCTCATGCTACACAACCATCTTGGGACACCTAGGGGTTGGGCTCCACATTATTCTCACTCTAAGAAGCTCCCTGACAGACCTCACCATCCAGAACAATGCTGGTCATTGTGGTAGTAGGAGAGAAACAGCAAGTCACACACTGGCTGTTCAAAGTTTTCACCTGTAAGTGAAATGCATCACCTCCACGGATATCTCATTAGCCTGAGAAGTCATATAGTTAGGTCTAACTTGAAGCGGATGGGGCGTGCAGTTCTGTCTTTCCCCCCACAGGAGGAAAATGGAAATACTGGTGAGGGGTACATAGCACCAGTGACTACCTTTCCATTCTAGTGTATATCCTTGAGAGACTCGTGTTGACATGAACAGGAAGACTCAAATACAAACATGTTTCTTGATACGTAGTTTGTAATAACTGCCCCCAAAAAAGATGGGGGAACAAATTAAGTGCCCATTATTGGGAGAATGGATTAAAAAATTTGTGGTTCAGGGGTGCCTGGGTGGCTCAGTCGATTAAGCATCTGCTTTTGGCTCAGGTCATTACCTCAGGGTCCTGAGATAGAGCCCTGCTCGGCGGGGAGCCTGCTTCTCCCTCTCCTTCTGCCTACCACTCCCCCTGCTTGTGCTCTCTCTATCAAATAAATAAAATCTTTTTAAAAAATTAAAAAAATTTGTGGTATATTCATTTTTCAATAATTTACTTTTTATCCTTTTTCAGATTTTATTTTTTTTTAAGATTTTATTTATTTATTTGACAGAAAGACACAGCCAGAGAGGGAACACAAACAAGGGGAGTGGGAGAGGGAGAGGCAGACTTCCCGCAGAGCAGGGAGCCAGCCCGACGTGGGGCTCAATCCCAGGACCACAGGATCATGACCTGAGCCAAAGGCAGACGCTTAATGACTGAGCCACCCAGGCACCCCTTTTTTCAGATTTTAATTTTTTTATAACACTGAGTGAAAAGGGCAATTTACAGAATGTAACATGATGCTATTTGCGTAAATTTTTAAACATATATAGCATTATTACATACCGTTAATGGAAGTATATGTGACTGTTAAGCTGAACAAGCAAGACTCACGGGGATATTCAGAAAGCAACTTTATTGCTGTCTATTAATGCTCCTTTATTTTTTTTTTAAGATTTTATTTATCTGACAGA